AGGGGAGATGTCATAGTTCTTTAAGGGGCACACATCTATCTTGGGGCTTCCCTTGATGAGGGAAAAATAGTATAAACTTTGGGTGTCCAAGGAAATGACAATGGTTTTGGTATAGATTTTACAAAAGTGTTCTAAATCCAAAATGCATTAAGTCCTGCTAAAGAAACAACTTTGCCCAAGTGCCATCTTGGAATAAATAGTGGGCTTAAATGAGTTTCTCCAAGTTCCCAATCTTCAATGAGAGAAAAACAAAGCAGCCTCTTTAAATCTAGTTGAAAGTCACTGCTACCTGACTAAGTTAAAAAATAAAATAAAATCCAGGGGGTTATATAGCTTACCGGTTGCTGCCTCTGTCTGGGCATGTGAATCACGGTGTTCTTTTACAAAGCAGCCTTTACTGATATATGCAATAAAACACAAGGGATTGCTACTGAATAAGAATTTTTCTCTTGGAGATTCAATATTCAACATTTCAAATATAGATCGTTTGTCCAATCAACAGACAGAAGTATGACACAAAGATGTTCTAGAGAAGGAGATTAAGACTTTTGAATACAGGGAAGATGAAAGAATAGTAGGTAATTGACAGTATGGTTTTGAGCTTTGGAAGCACTTTTGTGTGCTAGACACGTGCTTCATTGTTGTAGCAGTAAAACAGAATAAAAGGTGCTAGGTTTACAGAGCTCTACTTAGAAAGATGCTAAAAATGACGCAAAGCCTTTTCTATATATGTTTAGATTTCCAGTTTTATTAGTTGTCTCAAAAGAAACTAAACAGCATAAAAACAATTCTAAATTAGGAGAGCTGAAAACGAGGAGTTAGGACTGAGAACAAATATTAAAAAATTTAGACACTAAAGTTGCAATTTCAATATGACAAAATGCCCCGAAATAAAAAAATAAATTCTCTAGGGTCATAGAAACAATCTACCTTAACCAGTGTTACAGGAATTAAAGTCCTACAAAGGTAAGGCTTAAGTATGTCATGTTTACTGCTACATTTCTAGCATCTAACACAATCCCTGGTATATAGTAGGTGTTCAACAAAAATGTGTTAAATCATTAAAACCAAAAGTTTCAATTGTGAAATAAAACCCATAAAAAGGACAATGTTGAGTCTCGACAAGCTGTCATTTTCAAAAATCCTGTCCAAGTTGCTTAATAAAAGTGTTGGGTTGATACACCCCATGTCTAGAAAGTTGTAAAACAACTGGAGAAGGTCCAGAGCCAAACCTGACTTGCTCCAGATTATAGAGAATGACAGCCAGACTTACTGTTTGCATTCCTGTCTCTGCCTTTTGGTGAGCAGTTTCCGTTCCAACAAAATCTTCTCATTTTTAATTTACTCTGATATTTATATGTCTAATGATTTAATATCACACCACACCAGTCTGGCTTTGTTGGTGCGTTTGACATGCATTTTTCTGATCGACCTTTACATATGTTATACACAAACCGGCCAGAAATCATTCATCTCAACAGGAGCCTCTCAGGTAAGAATCGAGGTTTCACTTCTCTCTCCAAAAACAGCCCTCTACAGACTCTGTTTAAAACCAGCTTCCCCAACCCCCATGTCTTCTGTAAGCTTGTCCAGACATGGGGTACATCATTAGGCCAGGTCTCCCAGTCATTCCATTGCCTGCAAAGTAATCATTTATAGGCGTTTGGTGTTTTGTCTGACATCTGTTTGATGCTGGCGCTCCAGCCTTTGTCTCAATGAATCACTTGTCAGTGAAAGTTGTGGCATTCTAGGCTCGATTTCACACCTTCAGGAATGGCTTGTCTGTGATGTACGTGATCTTAGGCTTTTTGAAACAACCAGCTCCCTCCACCTCTCCATATCCCATGAGGAAAGAGTGAAATGAGGGACACTGAAGAACCTGATGCTTATTCAAGGTTTATTTTGATTTGTCCCCATGGGCTTGAGCCATGCTTTCCTCTTCTGGGGATCACACTGCCGGCTCACCTCCACAGTTGAAATTTTGCTTCCAGAAAAAAATGAATTAAAATATTTGTGTAGAATACTTTGAGAGCATTGGAACAAGAATTTTTTGAGAAAGAAAGGAAAGGAAAGGAAAGGAAAGGAAAGGAAAGGAAAGGAAAGGAAAGGAAAGGAAAGAAGGAAGGAAGGAAGGAAGGAAGGAAGGAAGAAAACAGAAAAAAAAGAAAGAGGGAGAAAGAAAAAGGGAATTCACCATTATCTGGTAATTTACAGAAGATTATTTTTTTAAAATGCAATTTGATGGCTGTACCCATGATGGCCCACAACTAGCTAGAGTAGTGGGGGTCAGGAGTGGGACTGGGTTATAAACCCAGCTGGGCATAGCAAGGCATTAAATCTAGGAGTCCCTGTCCTTATTCTCCAAACAGGGTACCTCACACAGTATATATGGTAAGTGAAGTTGCTTTGAAAACCACAAGGTAAAAAGTGACTGTTCGGAGTGCCCTATGGAAACGCTCATGTGCAATCAGAGGACAAGGACGTGAGGAGCAGAAGAGCATGAAGGGGAGGGGGCAGGCTAAGCCAGAGAACAATGTATGTGGCCTTTCTAAACCAGGACCCAGTGAGTAGCACATGCTTCCTGGTGCAGAGATGAAATGCAAGATGAGATTATAGAGAAAATAACATGGAAAACTCATGAACTTTTTACTTCACTCTATTTTATAAGGAAAGGAGGACACAAGAGAAGGCATATATTGGAGAGCCTTTTCTTTGTGATTTTTAAACTCTCTGCCTTAGTTTCACAGAAAGTCACATTACGAAGAGTTTGTCACGAACAGATGACTGACCCCCAGGAAGGGAAGTCAGAATTTCCAGATGCGATGAAACAGGCGCTGGAAGGAAAATTTTCATTTAAGGTGTTAATTCAAAGAGAATAGGAAAGGGGAGGGGAAATTGATATCTCATCTGAGGCTTCTGAGTCCTACGAGGGATCCTTTTCATGTTCCTAAATTAGTATGAAGGGGGAGGGGGAGGGTGCCAAAACTTGGGCTCATCAGTCACTTCATGCATCTGAGTTGAAAAACATTTAACCCTGAGATGCAAATCATTTAATCATGCTGACCCAGTGGTGACCAAAAGCTGTGAACCCTTGGGAGCCAGGAATTCCCAACATGATGTGGTAATGCATTTCACAGCATGAACTTCAGATCTCCAGGACCCAGGCTGGGGAACAAGGGAAGGCAGGGAATGCGTACTGTAAAGTTTCTGCATAACAAAGACAGACCCTCCCTTCCAAACACATTGAAATGAGGGATCCCGGAGGGCAGCTCCCACTTCCAGCCCCATCACCCCACACAACCTCTTCATTTCTGTTTGCGCCATTAGGTCAGGAGGTTAATGAAAATGCACTGTAAAATTATAGAGGATGAAGCCAGGCACGAATATTCGATTTCCATTCAAGTCTGAATACTAAATTTGGACATGAAGAAAACCCCACTTGCTTTAAAATTTTACAGTTCTGTCCACATATGCTGGGAGAGGTTTGAGATGCTTAGGAAGCTGATAATTACTAATTGCCTACCTTGGAAACAAGACTAGGAATGCAGTTTGGATTCCAGCTTAGACGTGAAGTGTTGCAAGCTCTCTGTGTAGTCAAAAAGTGAGTGTCAGGATAATGTTGCATTTGGGACCAAGCAAGAGCTGAGATTTGAATTTTTAAATTTTCTACTATGGGTTTTTCCTTTTTTTCCTTTTTCTTTCTTTCTCCTATCCATCTATCATTTGATATTTCTTTCTCACTCTCTTCTTTTTAGAGCACTCTCATCCTTAAGGATGGACCTGTAAATGTATAGTATTTCCTCCTGATTCACTTATTTCCTAAGAGCATCAACCAGTATTGAAGGAAGTCGTTGATTGCACCAAACCATGCCACTCTTAGCTGCTTTTATGGCAAATATTATAAAACGATCCTTTTATTGAAGGACAACACTTTACAGTAACATCCTGAATCTGTGCACTCTGAAGGAATACCTCCCATGAAAGAAAATTGCTGCTGAAGACAAACCAACTGGAAAAGAAACTTGCCTTTTTTTCCCCTTTCTTTTAAAGTTTTCACAATGGCTTCAAAGGAAATGTGAATTAATCATTTGTTTTGACCCAAGAGCAACAGAACTTATTTTGGAGACTTAAACAGGCAACACAAATGTAAACAGAAATCTGGGACTCCCAAATGCTGAAGCTGAAAGGAGTCAGTCTGAAAACATCAGTTCTACTCAGTGTTTATTTTCATTTGAAGATAGTGGAAATCATATATAAATCATGGACAATACGAGTTCTTCTTGCCTGGCAAATGTCCACATGAATCTGTTAACCTCTAAGTATAGATACAGTATTTTTTAATAGAAAGACAGGGCAATATGGCAGTTAATTAGCAACCAATACTGTAAACTATGGTGGATACAAAGTTTTATCATATAAATTAATTGCCATTACAAAAAGGCAACTGCTTTAGCTAAGAAGGTACAAAAACTGGTAACTTCCATAAATATAACAAGAAGCTAAGTGAAGAAATACATAACAGACTGTTTTTCCTAAATAATATTTGAATATGCAAACTAAGACACCTGTGGCACTTTACACGAAAGTAGGAATATGACATATACCCCCATCCCACCCACCAACCCACCCCCCTTACCAGCCCAGGCCCCACCCCTCCCCCCACACAGATTTCCAAACCAGCAAATTCTAGGGTTACAAGGACAGGATGCAGCACGGAAGCAGCAAGACGGCTAGCTCCGACCTGCTAGACAAAGACGGAGCCTTATTGACAGTTGTAAAGCATTAGGCGTCAGACAGAAACTTGTCAAAAACAGCTGTTGTTGGGTACTGATTGATAATGTTTTCATTCTGACGGCTGAGACGCTGCAGACAGTCGTGGGTCTGAGGAGAAGCCCATCACTGGCGCACACACGAACACACACACACAGACAACGGGAAGTCATTTAACAGATGGCTTAGGAGCACTCAGCCACAGTATCTTAAAAAGACAACATTCTACATTTAATGAACTTGCGGGGAAAGCAAGGCCTAATCATCATTTATTTTTCACAGAAGATGAGCACAACAGGGCAAAATAAAAACAGGAATTCTGTAACTGGTCATCAGAATAAAACTTTTGTGCTGCTCATGGATTATACAGTGTTAAAAATATTCAAGAATACTGTACACAAAATTGTATATGAATCACTATGGATCTTTCCTGATCCATGCCATTAAAAAAAAAGCTGAAAGAAGGGTTCCATGTTTCAAAGATAATGATTTCATTAAAATCCACTTGCAAGATTAAACCACAAAAACTATTTGAATGACATTAAGGGTCTGAATTGTATTTTCGGGAGAATTACAAGGTATTACATCACCCTGTAATACAGTGTGAGTCTATGGTATTTGGGTATCAGTCTATGCTACCTAAAAATTATAAACATGTTTTTATTACCCAGATGTAGGGAGCAGTTTTCTATCATTTGGCCACTTAGTATCTTAAGTGGTCAAAAGTTTATAAAATGTGCCAAAGAATATTTTGTCTATGAACTTCAATATCCATAGATTATTCCTGATTTAGAAAAGGTCAAGGGTGCTAAACCTTAGTAAAACTATACATTTATCTCTAAGCAATTTTATCAATTAAATTAAATGAAAAAAATTAGTTCCAAAGACTGAATCTGGCCCTAAAATTATTTATTTGCTGCAGTCCCAGCATACTTTTAAGGGAAATATTGAAACCCCTGAAAATAGAGGTTTATAACAGAAATACTGACAGACCTTCACTGCTAGATGGAGGCATTAACAGACTCCATTAAACTACATTAGCACTTGACAAATGAATATACAGATGATATCTTTGTAAAATTCATGCTAGCTTAAACCTTAACCAGTATAAATTACACTTTGTTCAGCTGTTTTTAAAATTTTTACTATTATTTTAAAAATTATTTTCTCTATTTCAAACACTTGATTTTTAGAAAAAGATACCTGTATTACATTGCAGCTTGACTTTATGCAGGCTAATCTTTCCATTAAAAAAATATTTGAGGACTTGATCAAATGTAATCAGTGATGCATGCATTGTGACAAAATTTCTTCTAACTCCTCTCAAAAACTAAAACAATGTTTTTGCTCTTAAAAGACAGAAGAGAGTGAGACTTCAGATGTAATCAAGGAAACATTACGCATCTTGTCTTTTTCTTCAAAGCTAATTTTACATGGCAGGATATTCCTTTCTGATAAGGTGATCAAAGTTTTTGGTGCTCATTTTCTCTCATAGTATAAGGTCAGAATATAAAAAACTAAAAAAACAAAAATAAGATAAAATAAAATAAACCCCCCAAAAGATCTTGAAAACAATACACATATTATGTGGAGTCCTGATAACACAATACTTTACTCCTAAACCCAGGGAAAATTAGTCAAGGTACTGTGAGTCTTTTTGAGTCCTTCATAAGAGATTTGATTTCCATGAGCCATGAATTCCATCCATTTTAGCACAGAGTATAGAAGAGATGTTTAGAACAACAGAAGGAAGAGACATGCGGTGACGATAATTAGTGGTAAACAGAGAATAAATTCTCTCTCAGTAGTGTGTACTTGACGTTAATGCTGATGATAATTCACCTGATTTACAGAATTTTCACTTTAACAGAGAGATGGGAGCCTGAAATAACTAGAGAAATATAGATACTGAAGCCTTTAGATTCTTGATGCCAAAGTAAAAATAAAATGAGAAACTAACATGATAGGTTCAAGGCCTTTTGGGAACCCGTTTTCCTTGCCAGATTTCACATTCTTACAGCTTCATGGTCTTTTTCTTCTAACAAATTTATCAGCTGAGAGAAGCTGTCTTTCAGTGCGTCCATGTCATCCAGTGAGCAGGGCTGCAGAATCCAGCGTTTTCCACGGGCAAGTGGTTCAAGTTCAAAATATTTTTTGATCTTAAGGGAAAAAAATAAAGATAAACATGTTATTAATTATAGCAGAATCTTTCTCATACCCAAATTTTGAGTGATGAAGTGGGGGGATTTCAATGAAAATTTATATGATTTGTAATGCCTAGGACTTTCTAGAATCCTACCCATAGCTGCTGTTTCAATGTGGGTTATATGTTGTGACCTGGGAGTGTTTTCTTTAGGGAAGAATGACCTACAAGCTACCATTCTTCCTATACATTTAATGGCATGGGAGGTCTGACAAAGTCTGAGAAAGAATTATGTGCACTACACAGTGCAACACACACTGCAGACACCAAAAAGATTCAATTTGATCAAAATAACACTAGCAAGGTCAGCTTTCACTATTGCACCCTGCTGACTTATTAAATTGGTGACAACCTATAGTAGGTACTATATCAATTACTCGAGATTCAATTATTTTGACTATAAAGCACATAAACAAAAAATCTAATTTAAGTAATCTTTTTCTCTCTTAAATTTCTAGTATCTGAGACCTGGGAAGCCGTTTTCTAGGAAAGAGAATAGAAACTGAGTGTGTATGTACATGTACAAATTACATGAATTTACACACATAAAGTCTCCCAACTTTTTTTCCTCCCAGTCCTTGATGCTCTGGGAGGGAAAAATCAATCTCATAACAGGTATTTGGGATGACACATTTGCTATCTTAAAAACCTGCTCAATTAATAACCAGTCACAAGTCACTCTTACTGTACTGGCTAGGATTCTGACTAATTAGCTAGCATATTTACAGCTAATTTGAAAACAATGTTAGATTCAAGTAATCATAAAAAATCTAGTATTTCCAACTCCTGACTATGAATAAATATCAAATTGTTATGACTTCCTGAAGTATTGATGATCTTATCTCAAAGGGTTTGATAAAATACAAAGTTCACGAAGCTCCTCACACACACTACCTCACACAAAAACAGAACATCGTGTTTATTGCTCAGCAAGGTTTTACATAACATAAAATATAGTCAGTAGCAACATCAGGAGAGGCTTTATTCAAAGAAATTCTTGGTCAACGTAAAAGTACTCCTGTAGATGCCTGCAAATTCACAATAAATACTAATTAAAAAAAAATAAAGAAGCCAGTGAGAATTGAAGGACCTTCATTATTTTCGATTCTGAAAGAGTAACGAAAATCTCATTTACAGATCAGAAAATGGGTTGACAACTTCAGAAAAATTTTTTCTCAGAGTACTTTATAAATCATGATGTTAAGAGAATTCTCCCTTATTGAAAACACAAACTTCATTTGTTTTAGTTTCTTTTCTTTAGGGTACTGAAAACAATTTCCATCCAAGAGAATCTGAAATTGCTAGTGCAACAATCAGTACCAGGGACCATCCTGCTCCACAAAGGGAGGATGCCAGTTGCTGAACAAGGAGCCATTTGCTGTCAGGTAGACAGAGGAGTTGGCAGGAGAGACAGGTACGAAACAATGGTTAAGTCAACTGCTAGAAGAAGTCGGCTGCTCCAAAGTGTTTACCATCCATGATGTTAGTCTCCTAATTTCTTCCACAAAGTGAGACTTCAGATTGCACCACTGAGCCGCAGAAATTGAGACCGCAGTGTTTACGATGCTATCTGGTATTTGATTAATAATGTTTCCCATCAAATGAAGACCAGCATGTAATATCCAAAATCTGGTACATAAAGGAAGTTGTATCCTTGCCACATTTTATAATCCCAAAGAACAGCTTCTTAAGTATTGCTAATAACTGGTGAGAGGGCTGGTCATAAGAAACTCAATAATATTAAAATAAACACAAATGTGTGTACTAACAGTACATCCTCTAAATAGTTCATTTAGAAGTTACACAGAATTGATCCTGGCAGCATATTTACAGCTAATTTGAAAACAATGTTAAGTTTAAATAATCACAAAACATATTAGTAATATGTGATATTTTGTAGTACTGACTAGACACAAAAAAAGTGAGGCTTTGCTACCCATTAGGTTGGTTTCTAGGCAACCGGAAATACAGTTTATCATGTAGGCACATTTGGAAGATAATAAAGATGTCTGAAGGTAGATACATTTCAGAAGTTGTTCTTGCTGAATATTAAACACGAGAAGGAAATAGGAGCCCCANTCAAGAGAGGGGAAGATAAAGACTTAATGCTCTAATTCTGACTTTTTAAAAAGATAATATTTTTGTTTTGTTTTCTTATATTAACCCGAACTTCAAATTTTATTTCCCTTGTATTATTATAATAAAAAGTATAGTCACATTTGACTTGTCCACCATTGCTTTTCTGTCCTTGTATATGTGGCTATGTAATTTTAAAGAATGGTGTTTAAGCTTGACCAATATAAATCATATGCTTATCTGATATTGTTTTAAAAGTTTTTTTT